CTTTCTTTGTTTTATACACATATATCCTGCTATGGACTCAAGGGTCAGAGAGTAGGTAATTTAGTCTTTTTTTTTTTTTTCTGAGACAGAGTCTCACTATGTTGCCCTCAGTAGAGTGCTGTGGCATCACAGCTCACAGCAACCCGAAACTCTTGGGCTGAAGCAATTCTCTTGCCTCAGTCTCTCAAGTAGCTGGGACTACAGGTGCCAGCCACAATGCTCGGATATATATATATATATATGTTTTGTATTGTAGTTGTCATTGTTATTTAGAAGGCCTGGGCTGGGCTCAAACCCACCAGCTTTGTGTATGCAGCCAGCGCCATAACCACTGAGCTATAGGCACGGAGCCAGTAGTTTATTCTTTCTTTATCCCTTGTAACTGTTTGTCTTGCTACTTCTGACAAATATGACACATTGTTTTTTTTCAGAAAGGTTAAGTGAGAAAATATATGTAAATTATTTTGAATGTAGTAAATTGCTGAAACTGCTAAGGGAGTTACTCCTATTATAATGTTCTTAAGTATGAGTATCTCTCTAAGTGTCTGACTATAATATTAATTCCATGAACATACACAAACAATAATACATGTATATTTACTTGGCACTTTATAAGGCACTCAGTGAGTTTCATTTTAATCATTCAAGTATCTATTATTTGCTGTTTTCCTACTATGTGCCAAGCAACATTTGAAGCAGCTGGGAGTATATTAGTGTATAAAATCAGCAAAGATCCCTCCCTTTATGTTTTAGAGAAAGAGATAAATTTGAGAAAATAAACATGATAAATACATTATACAGGCAGTTCAAAAGTAAAAATAGTATGCAAAAAAGAAAAATTAAGGCAGGTAAGGAGATAATGAATCCCAGGACGTGGGGGGCAGATTGTACTTTCAAGTTGATTTGTCAAGGTTGTCCTTATTTGGGAGATGAGTTGAGCAGGACATAAAGAAGTTAAGGGAAGTCAGTGGAATATGCAGCATTCTAGGAAGAGGAAACAAACAGAGCAAAGACCCCAGGGCAGGAGCATGCCTGGCAGTTTGAGGAACAGCAAGGAGCTCAGTGTAACTAGAGTAAAGTGGACAAAGGAGGACATGAGGAGATGAGGTCAGGTAGGCCATGCAGGCAGAGTAATGCAGGACACTGTGGGGGGTTTTACTCCGAATAAAATGGGGAACAATTGTAGGGTTTTGAAAAAAGGGTGACATTTTATATCTCCTATTATAGGTGGTCCTCCTATTTCTATGCTAAGAATATACCACAGAAGACAAGAACAGGAATAGAAGTAACTTCAGGATGCTTTTGTTAAAATTCAGACCACGGGTGCTGATGTCTCAGACTTGGATGGCAGTAGTAAAGTGGTGAGAAATCATGAGACTTTGGACATATTTTAAAGGCAGAGTTAGCTTTATTTCCTGATGGGTGATAAAGAATATGAGAGAAATGTGAGAATCAAGGATGACTTCAAGGATTTTGTCTTGAAAAACTGAAAATATGGAGTGTGATTGGAAAGGTCCCAATTAAGTAAGTTGGGATGCAATCAGGAGTTTAGTTGTTGACATGTTTGGTTTGGAATATTTATTAGATATTGAGATCTTGGATGAGAACAGAGTTTGGTAGAGGGATCTGGGCAAGAGATATAATATGAGGAATCATCATCATATTAATGGTACTTAATGCCATTAGACAGAATGAAGTCATAACTGAGAAAAGAATCAAAAACTGTCATGCAAACTCTGATATTAAGAAGGCAGAATGAGAAAAAAAAATGAATGTTGTAAAAAGAATAAGAAAAAAATAGCTAGATAATGAATGAAGCCAAGAGAAAGTAGTATCTTAGAAATCAGGTAAAGAAAATATATATAGGAAGGTCAGGCCTGATGACTCATGCCCACTATCCTAGCACTCCTGGAGGCTGGGCCAGGAGGATCACTTGAGCTTAAGAGTTAGAGACCAGCTGAGCAAGGGCAGGACCCCGTTTCCACTAAAAATAGAAAAACTTAGCCAGGCATTGTGGTTAGAGCCTGTAGTCCCAGCAACTTGGGAGACTGAGGCAGGAGGATTGTTTGAGCCAAGGAATTTGAGGTTGCTATGAACTAGGCTGATTCCATGGCACGTTAGCCTGAACAAGAGAGTAAGACTCTGTCTCAAAGAAAATATATGTGTGTGTGTATATATATGCATATATACATACACATACATACATATACATACATATATATGAATTTTATGGCAAAGACCATTTCTGAAGGACATACACACAGATATCACCTGATAAGACAATGCTGGTTCTTTCTTCTTGACCAGTTACAGGGTTTCGAAGGTAGCAAGTGACATTCTCCTGGGAGCTCCCTGTAAGGAGAAGGCTCATCTTCACGTTGAACAATTTGTTTCTATCCCTGGAATGGTTCCTTGATATAGGTAAAATGATTTCTCCTCTGCTGTCTCTCCACTCCATTTGAGGCTGTGGGTACCAACCTTCTGATTTACACTCCACCATAAGACCTTTGATGTTTGGAGGATGCATAAGAATCTGTATTTCTAAACTTGTAGCTGATGAAAAAGAAAGGGGAAAAACAGTATTTTTAGAGGAAGATAAGGGGAAACACAAGAAAGAAGGAATAGCCCTCCTGCTCTACTTTAATCCCTATGTCCTTAGATAGATTGATAGGCAAGCTCTGCAGGGCTGATTTTCATGACATGACAGTAAGAAGAGAATATGGATAAGCCAGACTGAAGAGTCTGAAGAGAAAATTAATAACCTGGTCTTAACTAAGTCAGGTCTTATTTATTCATATACCAAAAGTATTCATAGCTATTTACTAAATCTAGAAGACATAGATAGGATCTTGGATTATGACAATGAATAAAAACCAATTAAGATCTCAGTCCTCAAGAATTTTTGGCTTGCCTTCTATCTTCATCATTAGCCACTTTGGGTTGCCATAATAAAGTATAAATCAACAACTGATAACATTATAAATACAAGTTTGCAACTTTAACAAAAACTATGATTTGTATGTATTTTTCATACAAAAGATGTCTGCATACATTTTTCATATAATAGGTAGCAACACTGCTGTTATCAGAATATTAGTACATATCCATTTAGAGAAAATAAACAAGTCTTTGAAAAATTTCAGGTCATTGCTAGGGATTTAAGACTTACCTAAAGTGTGAGCAAAGAAAGAATGAATAAAGACTTAAAGCACTACTCTAGAGCAACTCTGTCCAACACAGTTCTCTGCAATGATTGAAATATTCTGTGTTTGTGTCATC